AGACCCCCCAGGAAGCAGAAGCTAGAGCTTGTTCACTCAGATGTTTGGGGACCAACAACCACCGCGTCGATTGGTGGGAAACACTACTTCGTGACTTTTATTGATGATCACTCTCGGAAAGTATGGGTCTACTTTCTGAAGAAAAAGTCAGAAGTGTTTGAGGCTTTCAGAAGATGGAAAGTCATGGTCGAGAATGAGACCGGTTTGAGGGTAAAGAAACTCAGAACAGACAATGGTGGTGAGTATGAAGACACCAGATTCAAGAAGTTCTGCTATGAGCACGGTATCAGAATGGAGAGGACCGTGCCCGGCACGCCTCAGAGAGAGCCAGAAGCATTCGGACGCAGTCAGGTCTACCGAAGCAGTTCTGGGCAGAAGCAGTCAACACAGCAGCTTACTTGATCAACCGAGGTCCATCGGTTCCATTGGAGCACAGAATACCAGAAGAGGTATGGTGCGGAAAGGAGGTAACCCTCTCACATCTTAAAATTTTTGGTTGTGTAGCTTATGTGCATATAAGTGATCAAGGCAGTAATGAGCCTGATCCCAAGTCTAAGATATGCACATTCATCGGGTATGGTGAAGACGAGTTCGGCTACCGCATTTGGGACAACGAAAACAAGAAGATGATCAGGTGCAGAGATGTGACATTCAACGAGAAGGTGATGTACAAGGACATACACAAGACAAATTCCAGTGACTCAGAGAGCGAGTCAACATTTGTAGATGCGGATGATGTCCTAGATAACCTCTCTGAAGAACCCAATGCAGAAGGTCCTCAGCCAGAAGAGCCTGTTTGACAGAACGGTGCGCAGGAGCCCGACGCACCAGCTCCGATATTGAGGAGAACTACTCGTCCTCCTGTGCCTAACAGCAGATACATGAATTATATGTTGCTGACAAATGGAGGGGAGTCTGAAAGCTTTGATGAAGCTTGTCAGAGTGGAGATGCGAGCAAGTGGGAGTTTGCTGCGAAAGAAGAGAAGAAATCTCTGATCTCCAACCAGACATGGGGACTAGCTGAGTTGCCCATGGGGAAGAAGGCACGTCACAACAAGTGGGTGTATCGAGTGAAGAAGGAACAGGGTGGTTCCAGAAGATACAGAGCCCGACGAGTTGTCAAAGGATTTCAACAGATTATCCAAGGAAGAAAGGATCCAGCGGATATGTTGACAAAGGCAGCGACCTTTCAGAAACTGAAGTTGTGTGCAACTTCAGTTGGCCCTCATGCATAGATGATGAGGGCGGAGCCACACAGGAGAAGAGTTCGGTGGGATAGGCTGTTGGCGTCGGTTTGGTCTCCAAGTGGGAGATTGTTAGGTTGAAGGTGGATACCAACCTCCGACGGCGGAGGAGCTCCGACGAGCTCCAGGTTGTCGCAGGTGAGCGTGGGTGGCAACGGCGAACTCCAGGCTCAGTTCGAGATGGAGCTCGAACAGGCGAACGCAATGCTCGTGGCGAACGCGATGCTCGTGGCGAACGCGACCCTCGGCCTTCGGGATGCCGACCTTCGCGTCCAGACGCTCCCACCTCAACCCACACCGCGGCCCTAGGGTTTGGGTTGCTCCTTCTCCCCGACTTTTCTCTGGCGGCGGTGGAAAACCCCCAAAACGCAGCAGCGTTCTTTCTCCTAAAATCGCAGCAGCGATTTTCCATTTAATCTCAGCTTTTCAACAGTGTTTTGAAAGGGGATTTAAGAAGAGAGAAAAAAGAGAAGAGGAGATTTTATTGTGGGTACTAACACTGTAGCTACAGTGTTTGTTTGAGAGATCTCAGTTTAGGGATATGCTCTTGATTTGTAATTTCTTGTTAGATTAAATAAGAAATTGACTGTGTGGCTCCCGAGGACGTAGGCAGTTACCGAACCTCGTAAATCTTGTGTACTGTTCTCTATTCTGCGTTTCCGTTGCATTAGGGATTTCGGCGTTAAATTCCCAACAGTTTGGTTCAATTTCTATAAATTATAGAAAATATTGCTATTTTCTATAAAGTTATTTACAAAACCGCCACTATCAACCATTTTATATAAAGTCTTCTGTAAAACTACTCAACCAAACAGCCCTAAAGATGCTCTGTGCAAATGCTTATGCTGGTGGTGACCCGTTCTGTTGGCTGTCAGCAGTTTTTTTCCGCACAACTGTGGAAAGAGAGAAGTTACCAAATTAGCCTCTATAGTGGTGGAAGCGGATCGGGTTTCACTCACCGGGGACTTTATGTCGTCTCCGTACCCAACGGATGCATTTACTCACTTATAACCTGTATAAGTGCAGCCAAGACCATCAATTATTTGTTCTAGTTCATTTTTTTCAACTCGTCCTTGCACCACCAATAAACTATATGTTGGGTTTTCAAGAATTAAATCTTCGTATGTTTTAAGATATATATATATATACTTGTTCGGATTATATCTTGTCGGTTGCAATATTTAAATAACATAATTTGCTATTATTTTTTCACAAAAATTAATGCAAGTTCGAGTCAGGGCCGGCCCTGGGGTAAGCCCACCAAGCCCCGAGGTTGGGGCAACCCAGGGCCGGGGGCAACCCAGGGGGAGGTCGTCGTCTTCCTGGTCGTCGTCTCCGTCCTCTTCCTGGTCGCCGCTACCGCCTTCTACTTCAGCAAGAATTTTTCCAATGGTGAATATACGACTCACTGCCCCCAACAACGCCATCCCCTTGTTGCCTATGACTCTTTTGGGCTTGGGTTTTGGGGTTATTTTCGAGCTTGCCACCGAGTCGAATCTTTCTGCCTTTTTCTGGGCACGTTCTACGAGGATAGTGCGGTTGGTGAATTGTAATTATGGCGGGGGCCGTGGGCGGTATTTGTGAAACTAGATAGATTTATGTATATAGTTTACGCGGCTGTACGATTTCTTGTGTAGTAACGTACTTAAATTTAAACGAACTGGCTTTTAATAGTACGTATATTACGATAATGCACCCCTGACATGGGCCATTTACGAGGCACGTGCGTTCGCTAGCTTTTTCTTGACAAAGAGTTTTTTATCGTTGTTTTTTTATTATGCTCTTTGTGGTGCTGCTACTACGACAAGCAAGCTGGCTCCCCTATATTCGAGAGAGCGCTTTTATTTTTTGAACACAAATAGGAAGTGAGGTATTTGTTGGTGGGGTAATGTGGAAAAAAAATTAAAGTAAATCACAATCCTCTCTTTCTTTAGGAGGTTAAAGTTTGAGTTAACGGTCTAATATGAAAAGTTTAAGATGAACAAATACCTCACTAATTATCGTTGCAAGTAAACTCATGCATTTTCTTCTTTTTTCCAATATTGGTGCAGGCTGTGAGTCTAACGTCGGGGCCCTCCTCAGGCTCCGGCACCAAGTGGTGCGTACCGAAGCCCGATGTAACCGAGGCCTCCCTCCAATCGAACATCGACTACGTGTGCAGCACGGGCCTAGTCGACAGCAAGTAGATTCAGGGCGGCGGATCCTGCTTCCTCCCCAACACTCTTCAGAAACCACGCGACATTCGTCAAAGGAGGGGAGGTCGTCATGGAGGGGAGGTTGTCATGGGACAACCCGGCCGACCCAGGCCGGGGCTGGGGCTAGGGCAACCCAAACCTCGGGGCCGGCCCTGGTTCGAGTACTTTGTAATTTTGTTTCATTCCGATGCTCTCTTGAGTCTCTATGATCCAACTTTAGTACATAAAAGCAAACCTGTTAGCAAACCTGTATACACATTTTAGCAACTTAGACAAGCAAACAATCAAATACGAAGATGTTCTTATTTTCTAAGAGGCTGTTTGGTTCAACAAAATTTTTAGCATTTAAAGTAGACTTGAAATTCTTATAGTAAAAATGTCACATTTTCATTTTTGGGATTCCTTATAAAGTGTTTGTTTCAAAAAAAAAAAAAAATTCCATTAGGTATCTATAAAATAAAAAAAAGCAGGAACTTTTGGGATTTGCCAAATCCTACAATTTGGAGAGGATTTGTCAAATGCTAAAAATTTAAAGTTTTGGCATTAGATATCCATACATTTTGTAATTTTCTATATTTTAGAGTTTAAATCAAATAATAATTTATAATTTCTAGAATTTGCTTTCCTCTGATCAAGTTGAACCAAACATAAGATTAAGAATTCCAAAATATGTTAAAAACATGATTCCAAATACTATAACTTTAGGATTTGAACCAAACTACCCCTACAATATTATAAAATTGATATTCTTAGGAACAATCAAATAAGACCTGGTAGGGGCCCACAGAAATGTAACACCCAAATTGCTCGAAACTAGGGGTGGTAAACGATCGAATCGAATCGAATATTAAGATGTTCGTATTTGTATATGTTTAAAATTATCGAATTCGAATGCAGACTTTAATATTTATATATATAGTTTTTTGAATTCGAACTCGGATACTTGGTATTTGATAAATATTCATGAATATTCACAAATACTTATCGAATATCAAAGTCTATTTATTCCGCTATAAAATTTAATTTTTAAATAATATTAAAATTCATAAATAAAAATATTCCTTTATATTATATGATGTCTATATATTTAAATCAAAATTTTAATTAGAAAACAAATTTAAGATTATTTAAGTCTTAAAATCAGTATATAAAACTTAAGTAAAAATGGTAAATGAGTTAAAAATATGATATTACATGTGCAATAATATAAATAATAAGCTGTGATAAAATTTTAAACCAATACTGAATAGATAAACGAATCGAATATACATCTGGTTAAATTCTATTCGTTAGTAAACTCGAATACTAAAAAATATTTGTTTAGTGGTAAATAAACTATTGAATCGAATATGACCGAAAAGTTATTTGAACAATTATTGAACTATTTGTTAATTATTTGGTTCATTTCCACCCAGTCGGAAACGAATACCCGAGAAGCCGGACAGACATCCGATAACCCACATCCTACCCGTTAACAGGCAGTGTCAATTCCGTAAAATTTGCCAAACGCCAGGGGGCTTTTTTCGTTTCAAATATTTTAACAAAAACCAATGGCGCCGTTTCAGGCATCACCGCATCAGCCGTAAAAGTAACGCCCGTCTCCGTTAACTTGCAGAACAAGACGGGCTCACTCACAGTAGAGAGATCGAAGAGAGAGAGAGAGATGAACTCAGATTACGGCGTTCCTCGTGAGCTCTCGGAGGTCCAGAAGCAGAGAGCTCAGTATCAGCCAGAGATCCCCCCTTGCCTTCAGGTCCCTCTCTCTCTCTCTCTCTCTCTCTCTCTCTCTAGGGGTTAGGGTTTAGGGTTTTGCTTTCTTGATTTGACTCTGTGAATGCAAGATCTAAGTTTTCTTTTAACGGAATCCCAGTTCTGTTCTCTTACTCGGTGAAGATCTCGTTTCATTGTAATGCCAAGTATCGATCGTGGACGAAGTTTAATTTTACATTTCGTTAGTAGCAAAGAGATACCAAGGTTCTCATAATTGTGGTTTTTTTTTTAAATTTCAGGTTCAGATCCATTTGACTGAAAAATTTACTGTTGCTGATTGAATCTACTGCTTTTCTTTTCATGGATAAGGATTTTCTGAGCAAAGATTGTTGCGTTTTTTCAGTTGGACAGAGATTATGTAAAACATAAGTTGAAGGATATAAAAAATAATTATAAATCCATTTGCTCAAAATTATAAATGTTTTATTCCAGGTTAAATCCATTTGCTCAAAATAAAAAATATAAAAATATAAAAAAAAATCGGTTGTTGATTGAGCCTGCTACTTGAGAAGGATCTTCCTAGAAAAGTGCGATGTTCTTTCAGAGAGTTTAATTTCATGACATTTTCTGACCAAAACCTTCACTTAATACTAGTTTATGGCACGTACGATGCACGTGCAAGAAACTACATGATGACTGTGAATTAATATAGTCATGCTTATGCGAATGATATGATTCGCATTTTTTAAATAGACCATTTAAACAATTTTAATAGGAACATTCAGTTTGAAAGAACTTTTAGTTCCGTCTTAAGACTTGAGGCCATGACACACGCGTGAAAAAAATTCAAGTGCAAATTGAATCCCTTGAGTGGTTTGTACTGTAATAGTAGAGATGCGACATCATTATGTATGAAGGAGCATTTTTAGACGTTGAAAAGCTTATACTTATAATACTTATCGAAGATTCTTACACGTTGGGGGGTAGGTATGTCGTATGACCTATCAATTTGGCCACTCCATTCCATCCTTGTAAGATGTGGATATTTATTTCAATACTATGTGAATAAGTATGTTTTATTGAAAGAACAGAAGTAGGAAAACTACTGATAGCTTTCATGTTTACTTAGGCGATGTGTATCTACCTGAAGTTTATTTGCCTATGAAAATTTCTTTAACTGTGTTTGTATTTAGATTATTAGGTGTCTATGTTAGTTAGATATTTATCATTGGACTCTTAGCATTGCTTTGTTTTTCTTTTTTATTTCCAAAGATTGATAGCTATGAATAATATATCTGGCAACATCAGTTGGCTAATAGAAGTTAGTTTCTTTATTTGAAGCTTTAGAGAACTCATGGTCATTTATCATACATGGACAGGGTACTACTGTGAGAGTCGAATTTGGTGATGGGACAACCACTGCAGATTACTCTTCTTCGCATGTGATTAGTCGGGCCTTCCCCCATACATATGGCCAGCCTCTGGCTCATTTTTTGAGGGCAACAGCAAAGGTCACTGATGCCCACATCATTTCAGAGCATCCTGTCATCAGGTTTGTACTTGTGTTTCAATGGTGGTTTCTTCAGTTCTGAAGAAGTATGTAGTTTAATATGTTTTACCTATGAAGTTTATGAAACAAGCTGTATAATATTGATCTTTACAACGTCTAACAAGCTTGTGATCAACCAAGTTATCTTCCATCTCTTCCATCATAATGCACAACAAACTGTCCTTTGAACAGAGTGATGTGGGAGAAGTACTTTCTTGATAACTTGTACATCAAAATGCTGGACCATCTGAGATGACTTTGATTTATCACTTCCCCAAATTGTTGTTGAGATATGATAGTGCAAAGTATGAGCAACTAACAAGCTAATTTGGAAAAAGAAATATCAACTCACAATTTACCAATAATATTCATTAGGAAGTGCCTTCTTGCAGTTGCTATTAGTACTTTGTATCAATCACCAACATGCTCATAACCATAATCTTCACAAAGTGAATTCTAAGGATTTTTTTTTGTTCTTGTTATCTTAATACGTCCTCTAATAATCTCTTTGGAAATGGAAGAACCATTCAATTCTCGCTTTATTTAGTCAATTTGGCAAGTTTCTTCTGTTTGTAAGTTTAAATGTATGGTTTTGTAGCTAAAGTTAAGTTTACTTGTTGACCACCCAGTTTGATGATTGTTGTTCATTACCATGCCAACAGACATGTCGTATGCTAGTTGACTAAATAGCTTTTACTCTTTACTGCCAAAGTAATCTCCTCTTCAAATTTCCAATTCTGATGCTGTTCATCTCGTATATCATGGTCAAGGAAGGATTGCCTTTTCAGTTTAGTCGATGTAGCTGCTCCTAATTCTCTAATTTGTTTTTTAATTAGTTTTGTTGTGTAGTTTTCTATATGACTATATTTTCACCTCATAACATCCCAATTATCTTTTCGTTCTTCCTGAATTTTAATTTTGTTGCAATATTGCCTTCCTTCCATGCCATCTGAACTATCTGGTCCCTGTCCTTCTAGCAAACCTTATGTTCAACATTTTTTCTGTCCTGTGAATTCTTGACATTTTATTTTTTTTCCTTAAGACCGGAAACTCAGTTTCTCATCGTTCCTTTACGTTTTCTAGGACTTGTGGGAAATTTTTTATCTAAAACAGTTAAATTTTAACATGTCTCTCTCCCTCTGAAATTTTTTCCCCTTCAGTTCCTTATTTTATGATGCATCAAGTTAGGAGTTATTGCAAGCAAGATCCACCTCACCTCATTGGCATATACATAATGACATCTGCAAAAGTTATCTGCTCACATGCCTTTTTTCAGGGTTGGTGTTGTGTTCTCTGGAAGACAATCCCCTGGAGGACATAATGTGATTTGGGGTCTTCATAATGCCATTAAAACTCATAATCCTACTAGTGTTCTGCTTGGATTTGTTGGTAAGCGTCTGGCACAGTACAGAGTCTGTTTTTATAACATTCTGTCCATTATTGGCATTACTAGCAACTGGAATATCCTATTTGTTTTTTATTGGAGAGGATATTTCAACGATAAAGGTGAATTTGACTGCACTTTAGTTTTTTCCATTGCTAAGTGCTTTATTATATGGTTTCCTCATGTATCACAAACTGAATGGCTACATCAGCCCTTTGCTGATGCAGAAGAAAGAAACAAAGTAACCAAAAGGTAAAATGAAAATGATAGGTTTTAGTGCTTAACTTCACCAAAAGGTAAGTCAAGTTGCAACATAAAATGAATATGCTCGTATGAGGTCACAATTTTTTTTTTCAATTTTTAATCTTTGACCTAACGACAAATAAGTGTGTAGATTTATTTTTTCGATTTTCATGGGCTATACTCATGATTTTTATTAATTTTTATTTGTCTTTACTTGATGATAAATAAATACCTATATTTCAAAATTCATGATTTTCATGAGTTATAACCCATGGTCTTTATCCAATTTTGCTCTTTTCGACCCTATGGCAAATGATTAAGCATATCAAAACTCGCAATTTCATGGGCTATAAGTCTATAACCCATGGTTTTTGCTCATTTTTGTTCGTTTTGACTAAATAAAATTTAATTATGCATAACAAAACTTCATGATTTTTCATGGGTTACAACTCACGATTTTGATTTATTATGTTAGTTTCGACCTAATGTCAATGAAATTTTCTTTCATGAAGTGTTGCTATTTTCATGGGTTATATAACACAAGTTTTTTGTAAATTTTTTCATTCGACCCAATGAAAAATAAGTATGGGTACTTCAAAATTTGTTATTTTCATGAGCTAGTTTTGATTTTTGTTTACTTTTGTTTATTTCGATCTAATAGCAATTAATTATGCAAACTTCAATATTCGTGATTTTCATGAGCTGTAACCCATAATTTTTGTCCATTACCATTGGTTCAACCCAATGTCAAATAATTATGACTACTTTAAATGCGCAATTTTCATGGAATATAATTCACAATTTTAGCATTTTTTTCCATTTCGTCCCAATGAAGAATAAATATGTGTACTTTAAAATTCACGATTTTCATGGGTTATAATCGATGGTTTTTGTCATTTTCGACCCAATTTCAATTAATTATGCGTACTTCAACATTTGTGATTTTAATGGGCTGTTACCTATGTTTCTCAAAAGTCATGAATTTCATTGGTTATAACCCATGCTTTTTGTTAGTTTACATTTTTCTTGACCCAAAGAAAATTAATTTTTATTTCTTCGAAAATGACGAATTTCATAGGCTATGTAACCAACGATTTTTGTCAATTTTCAATCTTTGTTTCAATGGCAAATTGGTATGCATTCCTTAACTTTCACGATTTTCTTGAGCTATAAATCACAATATTTATTAATTTTCATAGGTTATAACTTATAACTCATAACATTTGCCAAATTATGTTCTTTCTGATCCTATTGCAATTAACTAAGTATATTGAAATTCACGATTGCATATGTTTTAACCCATGATATTTGCTCATTTTGTTCACTTTGACCAAATGGAAATTAATCACGCATACAAAATAATTTGTGATTTTTCATGGGTTATAAACCACAATTTTAATTTATTTACCTCAGTTTCGACCCAATGACAATTACATTTTCTTTCATGAAAAGTTGTAATTTTCATAGGCTATAACACAAGAATTTTGTAATTTTTTGTTATTCAACCCAACGATAAATAAGTATGAGTACTTCAAAATTTGTTATTTTCATGGGCTAGTCCATGATTATTGCTCATTTTTGTTCGTTTTGATCTAATAGCAATTAATTATGCAAATTTCCTATATATTTGCAATTTCTGAGCTATAACCCACAGTTTTTGTTCATTATCATTCGTTCGACCTAATACCAAGTAATCATGACTACTTAAAAATGTGCGATTTTCATGGTTATAACCCATTATTTTGGTATTTTTTAGCATTGTTCGTTTTGTCCCAATGGAGAGTAAATATACATACTTCAAAATTTGTGTTTTTCATAGGTTGTAATCTACGATTTTAATGATTTTTTGTCTTTTGTGACCAAATTCCAATTAATTATACATACTTCAACATTCGCGATTTTTGTAGGCTATTACCCACTATTTTCATAATTCATGAATTTCATTTGCTATTCACCCATGATTTTTGTTAATTTTCATCCGCTTTGACCCAATGACAATTAAGTTTTATTTCTTCAAAAATGGAAATTTTCAAAGGCTATATAACGAATGATTTTTGCAATTTTCAGTATTTGATTCAATCCCAAATAAGTATGCGTACCTTAAGTTTCACAATTTTCATTAGCTATAAAACAAATAAGTTGTACTTCAAAATTCATGATTTTCATTAGTTATAACTTATAACCCACGACATTTGCCGATTTTATTCTTTCTGACACTATGGCTAAGCATGCTGAAATTCACGATTTCATAGGCAATAACTCACGATATTTATTAATTTTCATTCGTTTCGACCAGATAGAAATTAATAATGCATACTATAGAATTTTCCTTTAGGTCTTATGGGTATTCTACGATCACACAAGACTCCCAAAACACTCATCCATTTTAACTATCCCGATTTGACTCGATTGACAACATCGTCCTAAATCTCATGATGATGTTGTCAATCGAGTCAAATCGGGATGGTTAAAATGGAGGAGTGCTTCGGGAGTCTTGTGTGATCGTAGAATACCCATGAGACTTAAAAGGAAAATTCTATAAGATAGTTATAAGACCAATAATGTTTTATGGTTAGGAATGTTGGGCAATTAAAAACATATGCAAAAAATGAGTGTAGTAGAAATGAGAATGTTGAGATGGTCTAGTGGGTATACACTAAAAGATAGGATAAGAAATGAATGCATTAGTAGTAAATTAGAGCTTGCTCCTATTGAAGATAAAATGAGAGAGAATCGATTAAGGTGCTATGGTCATGTACAACGTAGACATTTTAGTGCACCGATTAGGAAAATTGATGATATTATAGTTAAGGGAGCAAAGAGATCTAGAGGTAGATCTAAAAGAACTTAGTTGGAAACAATCAAGAAAGATATGATTATGCTTAGCTTAATAGAGGAGATGACCCATAATAGCGCGGAATGGAAGAATAAGTTTTTTGTAGCCGACCCCAAACATTTGGGATAGAGGCTTTGTTATTGTTGGTAGTTTGGACCCAATGACAATAAAATTTTCTTTCATGAAAACTTTCGATTTCCATGAGCTATAACACAATTTTTATAAATTTTTTTATTCGACCCAATGGAAAATAAGTATGGATACTTTAAATTTGTTATTTTTATGAGCTAGTCTATGATTCTTGTCCATTTCGATCCAATAGCAATCAATTAAGCGAACTTCAATATTCGCCACTTTCATGTGTTATATATAATCCACGATTTTTGTCCATTATCATTCGCTTGACCCAATGCTAAGTAATATTGATTACTTCAGAATGCACGATTTTCATGCATTATAACCTATGATTTAGTAATTGTTGTTCGTTTCGTTTCAATGGAGTAAATATACGTACTTCAAAATTCACGATTTTCATGTGTTAATACCCACAATTTGTGTTTTTTGTCTGTTTGGACCTAATTCCAATTAATTATGCATTCTTCAGCTTTCTCGATTTTCAAGGGCTACTGCCCCTGATTTTAAAAATTTATGAATTTCATTAACTATAACCCATGATTATTATTATTTTTTTCATTTCTAACCAATGACAATTAAGTTTTATTTCTTTGGAAATGACGGTTTTCACGAGCTAAAGCAACAAATTTTGTCAAATTTTTGGTCTTTGACCAACGATAACATACCTTAAATTTCACGACTCTCACGGGTTATAATTCACAATTTTTATTAATTTTCGTTCATCTTGAACGAATGACATAATTACTTGTACTTCGAAATTCATGATTTTTATTAGTTATAATTCATGATTTTGTCGAATTTTGTCTATTTTGACCCAATGACAATTAACTAAGTATATTTCAATATTGATGATTTTATAAGTTATAACTCGTGATATTTGCTCATTTTCATTCGTGAAGACCTAGTGACAATTAATCATGCCTACAAAAAATTCACAATATTCGTGAGTTATAACCTACAATTTTAGTCTATTTTAATCCAATAGTAATTAAATTTTCTTTTATGGAAAGCTGCGACTTTATAGCGACAACACACCATTTTTATAAATTTTCATTATTCGATCCAATGGTGAATAAGTGTGGGTACTTTAAAATTCATTATTTCCCAAGGCCAGTATATGATTTTTGTTCATTCTGATCCAATGTCAATTAATTGTACAAACTTCATTGTTCACGATCTTCATTGCCACAACTCACGATTTTTGTCCATTATCATTTGTTTGGCCCAAAGACAAGTAATTATGACCCCAAATTCGCGGTTTTCATATGTACTACGATTTTGGCATTTTTTGTTTGTTTCGTCCCAATGGAAAGCAAATATACGTAGTTCAAAATTCGTGATTTTCATGGGTAATAACCCAATATTTTTATCATTTTTTGTCCTTTTCGACCTAATGCCAATTAATTATGCATATTTCAATATTCACAATTTTCATAGGCTGCTTATGATTTTCAAAATTTGTGAATTTGATTGGCTATAACCCATGATTTCGTTTATTTATCATTCTTGTTGACCCAATGACAATTAAGTTTTATTTCTTTAAATATCGTGATTTTCATGGACTATAACCAATGGTTTTTGTCAAATTTTCGGTCTTTGACCCAAAGACAAATAAGTATGTGTAAAATAAATTTCACGATTTTTATGGGCTATAACCCATGATTTTTATAATTTTCGTTCGTCTTGACCTATTGATGAATAAATATTTGTGCTTCGAAATTCATGATTTTCATTTGTTATACCACATGATTTTTGTCTAATTCTGTCCTTTTAGATCCAATGACAATTGCC